CCGGGTGGGACACCAACTTGGTAAGTTGTTGCCTGGGTGTTTGCCTAGTTGTCACGAGGTGCCACGTGTCGCAATTTCACTGGAGGGCCAAATCTGCCCTCATCAAAATTATTTATTAATTTATATCAGAAAATAAAATATAAATTAGTGTAATTTTGTTAGTAAACTACCTAGTAAAAATAAATATCTAATAACAATTTAAAATAATTTTCAATAAATTACCATAATTACATAAATGTAATAAATATTTTAAAAATTATCATAAAATTACATTTTTTCGTAAAATAACATTTTGGAAATTAAAAGATATAATTTTTTTGAAAGTCTATTTAAAATGTATTAAATAATTATTGGAATATTTTGGAAAATTTATTACATTTGCTAAATTTTGGAAGACTATTGAAAAATTATGTTATTTTCAATGTAAATTATTGAAAATTATTAAAGATAACTGAGTATAGGAAAGGGAAAACTGTAATTTGAATCAATAATTACACAAATTATTAAAATAAATTAGTATAATATTGGAAATAAGAAATTATTGATTAGTTTATATTAGAAAATACAAGATAAATTAGTGTAATTATATAAGTAAACCATTTAAATGGAAAATACATTATTTAATACCAATTTAAAAATAAATTTGAATAAATTACACAAATGTAATAAAATTTCCAAAATTTTTCATAAAATTACATTTTTGAAACTTGAAGACAATTTGTGTACTTTTAGAAATTTACTATGTGGTTGATATTGAGTATATCCTTTTGATCATTTTTGTCATCAAATTGAATATTGGTTTGACGGGGAGTGGGTGCCTTGCCTTGAACCTACCCGACAGGAGGGACGAGGCAAGGAAAATTCTAGGATTCCCCATCCTTGACGAGGAGTGGGTTCCTTGCCCTAAACTCGCCTAACATTGAGGATGAGGTGGGAAAATTCAAGGATTCTCCATCCCTAATGGGGAGTGGGTGCCTTGCCTGGAATCCGCTTGGCACTAGGGACGGGGCAGGGAAAATTCTAGGATTCCCTATCCTTGATGAGGAGTGGGTGCCTTGCCCTGAATTCGCTGGACATTGAGGACGAGGCGGGGAAAGTCAAGGATTCCCTGTTCCTAATGAGGAGTGGATGCCTTGCCTTGAACCCGTCTGACACTGGGTAAGGGGTAGGGATAGGGTAGAGTGTCTCAACTACAAGGCGGGGACAGGAATGGGGTGCCCTGCCTTGTTGCCATTCCTATATAATTGTTAATTATTAGTAAAATTAATAAAAATGTTAGCTTCTGTAATTATTTTTACTTATTTAAAATCAATCAAGATTTTATTTAAAAATAATGAAAATAATAACAATTATCAAAATTACTACAAATGATTAATAAAATTAAATTTATTAAAAAAATATTTGTTCATATTAAATTAACAATATTTATTTTCTATAAATCAATTATTAAAATTTTAAATATTAATAATAACTTTAAATTAATCAACAATATATTTTGATTATTAATTTATCGATTAATTAATAATAAATATAAATTATTCAATCTTTTAGATTTTCCCATTGCACAGGTGCCGTTAGTATAAATTCCCATCGCACAATTCCCGCTAGTATAAACTAAAATGGATTAGATTCTTGATGGATTTCATATTTAAAAAGCAAGGATAAGGATATGATATCATTTTCACAAAAAAAAAAGGATATGATATAGTCAGCTCAAGCATATTATACATACTTACAACTGAATTGGATAAAAGAATACAATTATAACTGAAGTATCCCGCTCCCACTAGGGGTGGGTGGTAGACCTGTTCATGGCCGGACTTTCACTCTGGATTAATAGAATTTTCCAAGGCCCGAGCCTGAGCCCGACCCTCATAAAAAGCCCGAAGCCCGGGCCTGGGCCTGAGCCCGAAATTTAGCCCATACTGTTAGCGGCTGAATAGAGAGAGAGATTATAAAGAAAAGAATAAAAAATGTATATATTAAATTATAAATATATATTTTAATAAATATTATATTATTTATATAATATATAAAAAACATATTATATATTTTATAAAATATATTATGCTGAGTCGGGCCAGGTCGGACTCGGGCCGGGCTTTTTTGACAAATCCCGAGCCCGGCCCGAAACACAGTCAGGCTTACTGTGTTAGGCCCGAGGTCAGGCCCGCGGGCCTAATTACATCCCGCGGGCCTAATTACATGACCAAGCGTGACCGGGGTGCAGGCCGGGCCATCGGGCTACCGGCCCATGAACAGGTCTAGTGGGTGGGGATTATGGGTACATTTTCAAATCCAATCCGATGTATTGCTGAACAGACTCAAATTCGGCTTAAACGAATCCGATTCCGATCCAAATCGGTAAAATGTAGCTTTTGCCATTTTTGCATAAGATATAATAGAGTGCTCCAGATAATATGCCTTTCAACTTCCATTTTCTTTCCGTGGGTGTTGGGACCATGCATGTTGGGTTGATGGACACCACTGCGGAGCTGAAAAGCATCGAATCCGTAATCCGTAACAGAAGGGAACAAATTCTACCTTTTCATTGTAAGACCTTGTCCATTTCTTTGTTGTTGTTGTACTTGCTTACGCATCACCCTACTTCAAATCTTCATCCTTTGCTTCTCTTAACTAACTCAGAGCTCTTCATTGCTGTTTCTTTGATTCAGTCGTCTCTAATGGCAATCAACACATGCCTCCTTCTTTTGCTACTTTTGGTTGCTGGGTTTCCTTGTAAAGCTTCAGACGAACGTCTCGTCTCTCGAATCGCCTTCGGGTCGTGTTCTAACCAGAGCTCTCCTCAGGTCAGGGCTCTTTATCTTCCTTAACTTTGCAATTCATATGTGTAATACGCCTTGAATGGGAAATTTCTATTTACAAATCTACTGCGTGCTTATTTTCTACTCTAATTGGTTCTGGAAAACACAGAAATAAAATTACGATTTGATTGTTTTTAGCGGAAAATTTTCTATATGAAACCAGTCCTTGTGAACCCTCTTTCCCTTACCTGCAAACCGCCAATTACCCTTAAACAATCCATACCTACAACCTATCCACCCATCCTTTCTATTACTAGAAACCAAAGAAGGCCCTCAGGTCCTACATCGGGTAGATAAGTGTTGCTCCTTTGAAATAGTTTTCATGAAAGAAATATCTACTGGCATTTTATTGGACTTGACAATTTTGCCCATTTGAGGTAAAAGTTCGGATTGCTTTCTCTTTGATATTCAGTCTTGGGGAGTTCAATTTTCTGTTTCGTTTCAGTTGAGATTCAACGGTCTTAAATTCTTAATCCCATGGCAAAATCTTTGGTGCATCAGCTGCACTGTGAATCAAAAGACATGATTAGTTGAACGTGATGGTAATTACACCTTGTTAAACTTGAAAAATACAAACATTAACCAATGAAAAGTAAGTAGATTTTAAGATGATTGGTTGAGACCTGGATTTAACGTGAACCTTGTTATAGTTGTTGGAGTGATTAGTTACTTAATGATATTTATCTTTATGAAGAAGAAATAAATTTGGAAATTTTGTGGTGTATGCTTGCAAATGCTGCACTTGGATGTGTTTGTGCATGTGGGCATGCATGAACTTGATTTGATGGAGTTTTCTTTTTCTTTTTCATTATGCACAAACTTAGTTGTCAAAAGCTTATGATTTATGATACAATTCACCATTCGTATCATCAATTGAGACCTAGTTATCTACCTTGTCATTTCTTTTTTTTTTTTTCAAGGGACTCTTGTTTTGAAACCCTTATGAGAATATGATATATTTAGGTTACCTAAGACCTATTTGGAAACCTTATTGTATTGAATTTGTTTTCTATTATATGTAGGTTAAAGAGCCATTTTATGTGAATTAGTTGACTTTCAAATCAAACTTGATATATCATCGTGGATTTCTGATGCATACATGGTAAATGATGAATAAAAATGGAGTAAAATTATGGAAGCACATCATCATCCACAAAAACACCCTAGTAATGCACAAATCATGGAAGCACACCATCGTTCATCTACTATACTACCTCTACCAATCATCTTCCTTGAGGTCAAATCTTGTATCACATAAGAGGAAGGAAAAAAGATTGCTGAGCAGTTTAACGAATTTGTAATACTAATAGCAGAAAAACAAGTTTATAGGCAAAGGGAAGGGAGATAGTTCATTGACTAGCTATAGTGGAAAACGAGCCATCAGCTAGTCTCACCTTGTCCTTGCCAGATACAAGATGATAAGACTGAAAACAATTTGACTTATCAGTCATATGATTTGAGGCTGTAGAATTTATTATCCAAGGAGAATCTTGAGGAATGAGAAGACACATGGAAAGCTGTGGCAGAGCTACCTGATGTAGATGCAAATGAAGTCTAGGGGGGTAGGGCTAGAATCCGTCTGACGAATTGATGTAGATCCAAATGAAGTCAAGGGGGTAGGGCTAAAATCCATTTAACGAATTGTTCTACCATATATCTCAAGATAGTCACAGAATGACTTGATGATGTCTTCCTTGGGATCAAAACTAGAAGGATGTTCATGAGTCATAGTGAAACCAATAGATTACTTATCAAAAAAAAAATAAAAGAATTGAGAGGCCATGTTTGCTGAATTATACTTCTTTTGATTTTGCTGGTTAGGCTTATTGTTTTGTTTTGGTTTCTTAATTAATTCATGAGCCCACTTAGGCTTCCTGTGGAGATACCAACAAGTGTCCCTAGTATGCCTAGATAACTGACAATGGATATACCAAAGTTTATCTTTGTCATTCACATTCTTCTCGCAATCCCCCTTCTTAACAAAACTTCCACTACTTGCATTTGCACCTCCCCTAACTACCAAAGCAACTGGCTCCCCCTCATAGGAATTCATCACATTTCTCCTACTCTTTTCTAACTGCACCAAGGCATACACTTCTTGAATTGAAGGAAGGTCTTTGCTTCCTAAAATACACACTCTGATGGATTCATACATAGGATTTGACCCCTAAAGAAAGGAAAACACTCGTTGCTGAGAAACCAAAGACAGCCTTGGCATCCAAATCACATTTCAAGTCCATATTTAGATAGTGATCCAACTCCCTCTAGATAGATGTCAAATATGAGTAATAAGCTTAGAGACTCTGCTCCCCCTGTTTACAAGTTTAAGATTCATCCTACAGTTGGTAGATTATTGCATAATGCCTTTGATCAGAATATGTGGATTTTTCTTTCTCCCAAATTTCACAGGCTGTCTCTGCCCACATAAAACTTTTCCTCACTTGTGGCAGCATGAAGACTAAGAGCCACGGCATCACCATACTATTTTCCTGATTCCACTTATCATATTCTGCACTCCCAGACTTCAGCTCCTTAATTTTTCCATTTATGTAGTCAATTTCCCCCTTGCAGTTATGTGAACTTTAATCCCTTTGACCATTCTAGGTAGTTTAGTCCATCTAAGGGAACAATAGCTATAGGAAAGTTCAAACCATGGTTAGCAGACACACCAAAAGTGGCTAAATCCTTAGACGACATGTTAACAAGGACTGTTGTTACAGTTCAGCTACACAGTAGGCAAAAGGAGGAAAAACAAGCACCAGCTCAGCCTTATACAACAGCCTAAAATAATATTCACCACTGACCACTGTCCACACATAATGCAGGTACTGGAATACTTCTGGAACTGCTTCGGAAGCGAAAAAATAACAAAACACAGATCGAGAATGGTCTGCAGAGTCTCTACGAACATCAAACACCCCTCCTCTAGGGCACACAATTACACTTTCATAAAAAAACAATAAATAAACCTGCTGTAATTTCAGGTACAGGTCATTCCAGAACTACAAACCACTCACCTGAACACACAAGGATTGCACGATTCATAAGGGAAGGGAATACGCCTCAAACACCCTCACTGCATTCAATCACCACATGTACAAGCTATATCTTGGCACATGACCAAGAGAAAAATAAGTGAATCCCCTCAAACCAGCTGCTGGAGTATTCTTTCCTTGATCTGGAGGGAAAAACAGCAAGAGAGAACAAGAATCCTTGATTGAACAGTCTTCAAGCCCAAGATCCCTGCTCTAGTACCATGAAGTCTTGGGAGAAAATGGTAGAAGAGAGCAAGAAAGAGAGACAAGGAAGAAGAGAAGAGAGAAAACAGAAATTTGGAGTTCAAAAAGTTAGGCTGGCAGTTTTAAAAAAGAGAAAAATTACAAAAGTGCCCCTATGGAACTAAAGCATAAACTAACGACAGTTTTAACAAAATGTTTAAATAGAAGAAGAGAGATTTTCATATGGTATTCATTGATTTCCTTGGATATGTATGTGGTTGCAACAACCAATGTTAGAACACCTACAAGAGAGACATCAGATTTTATAGTTGCAATTATATATAAAAAATAAATAGTCATTAATCCATCAACCATAGGATGTTTCATTTTCCAATGCCTAGCTCCCTTTGAGAGAGACAACAGGCATTCCACTACAACAGTAGAGAGCTCCAGAATGGTTTTTTTTTTTTTTTTTTGGAGAGGCTAGAAGGGCTGAGGAATGAGAAAGAACAAGAAGACTTGCATATGAAGAGAGGGCCAATTGGTAGTTGTGGAGCAATGGCAATGGCAGGATGAGGGTGAAGAGGAAAAGAGATTGTATACAATAGATTCTTTGTTGCAAGAGTTGGACTTGACAGAGGCATTTCAAGATGTAGCATATCATTTAAAGAAAACCTGGTTCTGCTTCATACTTTTCCAACCAAGAAACCATCGGAAAGTTGTTAGAAATGGACGAGGAGTTGTTTGGTTTGTTTCTAACCAAACAACTGCTCAGTTTTGGCCGTTTGCATTGTTTCAGGTTTTGTGTAATCTGTTTTACGAAGTTGGGTAAAGAAGATAGCCTTTGTTTGGTCTTAAATTACCTATTTTCAATTATACTGTTGGGCGTAGGGTCTGCATATTTTCTTTTATGGGAACAGATTAATTAATTAATGCTAATTAATGGATATTGCTGGTATGCAATACCCGCCACACCCTTAATGGATCTACATGCATCAAATGTTCAATTTCCAAAGATGGGACCCATCCAGTTGCAATCGATAGTAGCCATGATGACAGAGAACATGATACTAATGGCCTCATGTATCACGGTTGATAGACAAGAGAAATAACTAAGGAAATGAAGCCTTCGAGGGAGGGGACATAATCCAAATTGAGTTTTAAATTGACTAATAGCAATTAATGTAAATAAACTAAATTATATTAGTATTTAATTATTTTATTACTTTGAAAAATTAATTAAAATAATCTTAACCAAGACTTATAATGTTAGTAATAAACCTAACTAAGATATAAAACTAGTTTTAGTTATATATTTATTTACACATAATTAATATTAACAATATTACAAAATGTATTTATTTATCTGTTAAATAAAACCAAATATAAATAATAAATAAATACATGTATATTAACTCAACCAAAATGTATAATTTCAATAATTAATTAAGTTATAAATAAATAAGTAAAGGAAAATGTGAATGCTAATATAGGATTATATGTATTATAAAGGGATATTAATTAAAAAATTGTAATCATAATTAAAATTACATTTGCAACTTTAGCAAACTAAAATTTAAAAGTAATTAATGAAAAATAATAAATTTTTAAACTTTTAACATTAATTGATAAAAATTAACAATTAATTAATAAGAATGAAATTTTATATTTATTCAATAAAATGATAATGTGATTAATAAAATGAAATTTAATTAAAATAATTACATTTAATTTAATTTTTCAATTTAATAACATTTTAATATTTTA